TACCCTAATTTCAATATGCATTTTATGCATATTTCAATAATCACTATAGTCGGAATCCCCATCTGGGAACACCTTATGTAGAATTTCTGTGAGTAAATCATGAAATTGTGGATAACTACCAGAATTCAAAGTAATGTTCTTGAAACCAGAAGTCTTGCAAACGTTTTGAAAATTTTGCACTACATAACTCATTACGTGATCTCGTAATTCATCATATTGCCAAGCCGTCGTAAATAAAAACTCTGCCGCATTATTCACATTCACACCTCGACATAATTTTACTTTTGCATGTTGTTGTAAATTTTCGATCAAGTATTTATCGGCAATTTTAAACATATTTACAGCTGACGTTGGTGAATCCCTGGGTCCAAATGATACTCGATTGGTATAAAGAAAACGCAGCATTTCAAGGAATGTATCTGGATGAAAATCTATAACCTCTATAATAATTCGTTTAGATTTTCTAACCGATAATGACGAACACATTGATCGAATTGAGTCGTCATCATCATCATCATCACTTTCGCTATCAGAGACCCGTCTTCGTTTATGAGAGAATGTTGAATTATTTCCCAAAATATTACTGTCCATGTCTGTATCTTCATCTTCTGGTGTTGGAACTTGTTGCTGTGATGTCGGCCGTATATTTTGTCCTTGTTCCTCTTCACTTTGGTTGTAAGTGATTGATTCCATCCATCGTCCTTCGAACATTCTTTGAAAGTATTCTGATCGTCGTGTGAGTATTGTAGTATTTGCATAAATCGATTGCCCTTGAACTCGGAATTCAACGTCTGCATGTTCGGGTTTATTCAATTGATCAGCCCATGCCGTTACCAAGTCGTCAGGGAATGGCTTACCATTACCGGGAAATCTTGGTTTCTCATCTGGAGTACCGAATTCTGTCTTATCAAATTCTATACCAAGTATTATTTGATCCGATGGAAGTAAGTGTTTTTTACAAAATCTATTCCAACCTATTCGATTCATTTAATTTACTTAATTATTCAACAAATGCTAATAAAATATATTTATAAACTATGTAAATATTCCAACCTCTTAATGGCTTTGAGTTTACTTTGTTAAACTATAACAACCTGGCGACTAAAGTATATAGCCCACCGTTTGCAACTTCGTTTGATACCTTTTGGCAACTTAAGTTTAAGCCGGTATGTCTATTTTATGCATAATTATATGTTGTATTGTTGTGAAAGCAAACCAAACAAAGCTGAATAATCATGAAAGGCTGTTGTATCAAACATTGGATAAATTTGACATACTTGTGTTGCTGCGGCACAAGCAAAGCTTATACAAAAAATATGTTTTGTGTTATTGATAAAATGAAATTAAAGGAATTATTGCTACTAGGAAACGAACATGAATATAATTTATAAACATTACTAATTGAAATTTTTTCTTTCATTTTTTTTCAACAAATTTCCCGTTAAAATTTCCTATATTTAAAAGACATCGAAAGAAAATCCCGAATATTGTTCCGTGTATCTCGTAGCTATACCAAGTCATGAAGAAGGAGGAACGACTTCTACGTGGACGAAT